ACTGCAAGGTGCAAATGGAGCAGAACTGATCCCAGGGAGAGAGCCCGGGAGCGCTCGTGCATTTTGGGGCCATTTTGGTTCATCTTGGGTGCAGCCCTGGCTGGGCTCTGGTGCTGCCCAAGGTGCATCCATGGAGGCTTTTGATAAATCCCTGCTTTATTCTTTTTATTCTTTGTTATTTCTATTCTGAAATATGGGTGTCCTCAAGCCAGGTCTCATAAGCTCTTGGAGGTGTGTTTCACACCCAGGATAGCTCAGGTACCCTAGAAGGCATAAAATCAGCAGGATGGCTTCTGGTGCCGTGTTGGAAACAAAAAGGTTTTAATAAAGGCAAAATAACAAAACTCTTTACAGAGAAAACCCGAGCAAGGTGCCAGAGGTTCTTGCTTCTAGTAAAACACCTCACAAAAGCGATCAGTTCCTTTGCTCTCTTCTCTTTCTTGTAAGTTGCTCAGGTGGGACTTTTTGGCTTCTGTCCAATCCTTAACTTTGAGGTGAAGTCCCCTAGCCTATGAGGTGTCTTTTTACCTAATTGAGAAGAGAAAATGTCACCCTTAGGTTGGACATGACACACACATGTGATCAGCATCTAAGAAGAAAAAGGTTTTTTTTATTCTGCATGTTCTCCAGCTTACATACTCTTAACAAAGCGTGATCTTAAGTGTGGTGGTGTGCACAGGGTCCCAGGATGAGGGAAGAGATGAGAATCTTGACCCCATGTTTCAGAAGCTGATTTATTGGCTTATAATATATATTATATTAAAAGGAAATGATATGTTAAAACTCTACTAAAAGAATAGAAAAAAGGATTTCATCAGAAGGCTTGAAAAGAAAGGAATTGAGTGGAATGATAATAAAATCTTGTGACTGACCAGAGAGTCTGAGCCAGCTGACTGTGATTGGCCATTAATTAGAAACAACCACATGAGACCAATCACAGATGCACCTGTTCCACAGCAGCAGATAATCAATGTTTGCATTTTGTTTCTGAGGCCTCTCAGCTTCTCAGGAGAAAAATCCTAGCAAAAGGATTTTTCAAAAAATATGTCCGTGACACTTAAGTCATTAACTACATCACAATAACTTATTCTATTCATTGGTGCAAAGCAATTAGCATCAATATAATTGGCAAAATTTTACAGAAATTTAATAAAGCATGTATACACATCAACTTATGCACAAAGTCTAGCTTACAAAAAATTTAATGTATTTTTTCTGTTTCCATGCTGACAGCCATGTCTTCTTCCTTGCTATGGATACATTCAAAAATCATCAATAGTTATTTATTTTATCAACTCAGCTTTGCTTGCAGGCCAGCTGTCTAACCTGTCTGTGAAAAACGCCAATCACTTGTTTTTAAATTTTAAAAGTTTAATAGTAATAAAAATGGTTGTTAAAAAATAGTAATACAATTAGAGTCATAACAATTTGGACAAATTGAATTAGGACAATATGAGACAATAAATACAAAGAGTTATGGATGTCTGGGTACCTTTTTCTGGGCAGCACAAGCCTGAAAAAGGACACAGGTTAACAGAGGATTAACCCTTAAAAACAACATATATATTCATACACCTCATACATGATGCATAAATTCCATTCAAACACAGGATTCTGTCTGGGCAGTGTCAGCTTCTTCCTCTGAATCCTGATGGTGTCTTCAGGGCTGAGCAAGGCAGGAAGGAGTTCATTTCTCCTGATAATGGGGCAATAAATTCCCTTTCTCTGAAAGATTCAGGTGTCCTGTGGCTGCTGTTTCACTGCAAGCCCTTTCTTTAAAAAAGTATCCTCCATAGCATCGTTTCTATTTTAACAATTTTTGTAACCTAAAACTATATTGAACACACTTAAGAGAATTAATACAGCATTACTTTCTAACACAACACATATAATATTCATTTGAATATGTGTGAAAAGCCAATCATAAAATACACATTTTTCACACCCTCCACGCTAAACTTCTGGGTTTATTTCCTTTTTAAGGGCACAAAGGATAGTTTTGTCACTCTGTCAGCAGGGGCACATTGCTCTACTGTTATAGCTCAGTCCAGCCTCTAAATCATCCTTCTCAAGGCACCAATCTCCACCTTTGTTCTCCCCTAGGAATCCCTGAGGGGGTGAAGGATCTCCCCCCTGGCGTNTATATATTTATACTTATATACTTTTATAGATATGCTTTTGCATATACATATACATATACATATACATATACATATACATATACATATACATATACATATACATATACATATACATATACATATACATATACATACCTCTCTATATATTTATACTTATATACTTATATATATATAAATAGATATATTTACTTATGATTATACTTTGCTTTATGACTATATACTTTAATATACTTATATATAGATATACTTTTACATGTATATATTTTATATATATATATATATATATATGTGTGTGTAATATGAAATAGTCTGTATTTCTATATAACTACAGAATAGTGATCACCTGAGCACAATTAGCCGCTAATTGGGGAGGAGAATCCGCATTTCCCAAACCTGCGGGCGCTGCTTTCCCACCTGGGCAGCGTTTCCTCATTAACCGGCTCAGCTCATTATAAACCCCTCGGGCAGGGGGGAATCCTGACCCTCCGGAGAACGGGAACGGACCGCAATTCCCGATCCCACCCTGGGGAACACCGGGCACGGACCACAATTCCCAGTCCCGGGAACACCGGGCACAGACTGCAATTCCCAATCCCGGGAGCACCGGGCACGGACCACAATTCCCAATCCCGGGAACACCGGGCACGGACCACAATTCCCAATCCCGGGAGCACCGGGCACGGACCGCAATTCCCAGTCTCGGGATACCGGGCACGGACTGCAGTTTCCAATCCCGGGAACACCGGGCACAGACTGCAATTCCCAATTCCCAATCCCGGGAGCACTGGGCACGGACCTCAATTCCCAGTCTCGGGATACCGGGCACGGACCCCAACTCCCAATCCCAGGAGCACCGGGCACGGACCGCAATTCCCAATACCAATTCCCAATTCTCGGGCGCACCGGGCACGGTCCGCAATTCCCAATCCTCGGGCACGGACCGCAATTCCCAATTCCAATTCCCAATCTCGGGATACCAGTCACGGACTGCAATTCTCAGTCTCGGGCACGGACTGCAATTCCCAATCCCTATCTCGGGATACCGGGCACGGACTGCAATTCCCAATCTCGGGATACCGGGCACGGACNTTTTTTTTTTTTTTTTTTTGGCTGTAACCCTATTTTTGAGCCATTTCTGCCTAAACTTTTTTTGGGGATTTGTGTTTGGATTTCCTCTTTTCCCCCCTCTGTCCATCCAGGCTAAAGGATTGTAGAATTCTGCTAAAATCACTAAAATCAGTTTGTGCTTCAGTGCTTTGCTGCCACAACTCTGGAAATCTTTGGGTTTTCTCTCCTTTCCTTCATCCCTGCCTGAGATTTTTGATCTTTCAGGGTTTTGAGGGGAAAAAAAAAAAAAGTAGAAATGAATAGAAATCTTCTTGTTTCAGTTTTAGATATTATTTTATTCTCCAGTTTTGCTGGCTTGGCAGCTGGAGGGTGTCTGAGATTGTCATTGGAAGTTTTGGGACAAACCAGAGGGGGAACAGTAATTCAGCAAATAAAAGTTGGGTTTTTAGAGCTGATCTCATTTCCTACTTATTGCTGTGTCAGAAAAGCTGCAGGGAATAAATTTCATATTTGTGTGCTGTGTGACACTCACATTCTGTTTTATGACAGCAGTTTAATTCAAATTTTGGAGTTTAACTTCAATAAATGCATGTCAAATGTAGCTTTTGTAAATTTTTTATGGGTTTTCTGTGGTTTTTCTTTTTAAATTTTGTGGGATTTTAGCACTTTCTCGTTTTTCCAGTCTCAAGAATAATAATTCCTGACTGATGATGGACTCCACTTCCCAGCAACCCAACTAAATTGCATTTTAACTGGGTTTTGTGTCATTTTTTCAGAAAGATGAAGATTGATCTGTTTGTAATTCCCATTCCCATTGTCTCTGGATACATTTATTTGATGAAATTACATTTGCTTTTTTTTGGTAGGGCTAAAAATAGAGTGATGTGGGGGAACGGTCAGGATTTGTAATCTCAGGCAAAGAATTGTGGGAAAACCATGATTTTATGAAAGGAAAAAATATTTAAAAGGTGATAAAATGCAAATGTCACTGAGATACTTGAAAAAGGGGAAAATGCAAATCAGCTTAGCATGGAAGAAAGCCTTTACTTAAAATAAATTTAATTTTTAATTCTTTTTACTGCTACTTCCAGTGGGAACACAGGAACAGAAGTGCCACCACCACCAAAACCACCTGAATTCCAGTGAATTATTTGAGATGTCAAACCCCCAGAGATACAAGAGGTGTAAAGTCCTTTTACTGAGAAATATGATGTAATTGTAAATTTCTATGTCTAATAAAGAAATTACAATTTCCCTACTGGCTTGTGCTTCCTCATTACAGCTTAAATGGGTTTGAAATATTAAAATATATAGTTTATTACTCTGTAAGTATAGTACATATAGTATATATAAAATAAGTACATATGTATAAGTATATATCTATAAGTGCACTGCATATACATACTTTTATTATATGTATATATTTTTTTTTTTTTTATATATAAATATACTATGTATACACAAATATATACTAATATAAACAGTAATAAAAATACTATATAAATATAGTATATATAATTGAATATATCCACTTATATGTATTTTTCCACATATAAATGTACTTTAATTTATATATTTNTTTTTTTTTGAGTGGAGATCATGCTGCTCTTATTAAGATGTATTCTCAGGCTGAAGTTTTTTGCTGCAAATTGTTCCTTGCACTGAGCTTTTTCAATTTGCTGGTGGGGCTGGTGTTTCTTCCCACCACTGGAATTGTGTTCAGGAAGAGGAACACCTTGTGCTTCACATGTCAGACCTTGATTTTAACTCATCCCTGGGGAAAAAAGGTCTCAAACCTCCTGTCCTGTCCCCTGTTTTGGTGCCAGTGGAGGGAGCAGAGCCAGTTCCTGCCTCCCCTCACTCAAACCATTTTTTGGGAGAGGAAAGGGATATTTTCAGTGCCACAGGTGCTGGCTTGGCCTGGCCTTGCTGAGGGAGGATTTTCACCATGTTCTGTCCCTGCTGCCACCTGCAGCTGGGGTTTTCTCCATCCACCACCCCAGGTTTTCAGAGCAGCCCAATGCCTGGGCATTTCTTTGCTTGAATTTTTCTGCCTGCCAACACTCCTCTGCTTCCCCAGTTTTTCTTCTTGCTGCAACATATTCCTCTTATTATCATATTCCTCTCTTATTCCAAAGCCAACCAGCTCTGTGCCTCCTGACCCTGTAAACTTGCAGTGATTTATAGGAACCCTTTTTATTTTTGTATTGTAATCAATCCATTACACAATGAGAGAGCTGCCCAGGTAAGATCCCATTTTCTCCAAAACAAAACCAAAAAAGCCTTTGCATGAATATTTGTAACAAAACCCGTCCCAAATCACATTCTGCCTTTGTTTCAGTGTTACTGTGAATGGAATTTGTCTGTAAAGAAAATGCTTATATTGATTAAAATTCTATGGTTGTTGTAAAATGATTCTGTGGAATATCTCATTAATTATTGCCTCTGATTTAAATGGGACTCATCTGAAAGAGAAGGTGCCTTTTGTTTGCTTGGTGTGAAGACATGCAACAGAATAAATGCATTTTCAGGTTGCTTGCAGACAAGAACCATGCCTTAGCCTGTTGGTCAGGTGTGGGATTGGTATCAGAGCTTTTCTGCTGGGAAAAGAAATAAAATTGGACCCTTCAGAGGCCACAAAGCTGAAGCAGCTTTTCCTCTCTGCCACCCATTGTGCACAGGCTGCTCAGAATGGTTTTATTGTCCTGGGGTGAGCAGAGCCTGAACAAACACTGAATCAACTCCTCTGTTTGGGGAAGCCCTACATCCTTTCTGCCTTGGTCACACATTTCTTTTGTTCTCCACAGTGTTTAAATGGCTTTTGTTGCTGCAGGTGACACAAGGTTAGACATGAGAAGGTGCTGCTGGGGTGAAGAGGTGTTTGATTCTGGAAAACAAAAAAAAATGAGGTAGAAATTGAAAGGATGGATGGAGGATAACCCAATCCCTGTTATCCTTAATTTTTTATTCTTCCTCGCAGCCTTTTTCTCCTTTAGTGATTGGAGCTAGGTGAATTTGGGGCTGGAGGGTGCAAGGGTTGATTTTGCAGGGATTTTGCCTCCCTGAGAGCCATGGAATTATTAAGGCTGGAAATGACCTCTTGGATCATCAATTCCAACCATTAACAGCACTTCCAACTCCACCACTAATCCACATCCCCAAGTGCCACATCCACCCAGTTTTTGGGGTGTTCCACCACTTCCCTTGGCAGCCTGTTCAGGGTTTGACCTTTCCAGTGAGGAAATTGGAAAGGAGAAGGGCTGTGCAGGGAGACCTGGAATGGTTGCATGGATGAGCAGAGTCCAGTAAGATGAAGTTTGATAAATCCAATGTCCAGTTCTGCGTTTTGGCCACGATAACCCCTGAAGTGCTCTAGGATGGGGATGGTGTGGGTTGGACATTGCCCAGGCACAAAGGGA